CCATCCGATCCATCCATCCCATCCATCCATCCATCCATCATCCGATCCATCCATCCCATCCATCTATCTATTTGATCTAGTATCTATCTATCTGATCTATCTATCTCATCTATCTATCTATCTATCTATCTAGTCTATCTATCTATCTTCTATCTATCTATCTATCTATCTATCTATCTTATCTATCTATCTATCTATCTATCATCTATCTACCTATTCTATCTATCGATCTTATCTATCTATCTTATCTATCTTAATTGTATCTATCTACTATCTATCTATCTATCTAGTCGTAGTCTATCTATCTATCTATCTATCTATCTATCTATCTATCTATGTATCATTCTATCTCTCTGTCACCATCTCTCGCTCGCTCTCGCTCGCTCTCGCACCCCATCTCCCCCTTCTCTCGCGCTCTCTCTTCCGTCTCTCTCTCTCTCTCTCTCTCTCTCTCTCTCTCTCTCTCTCTCGACTAAATGAGTAATTCAGGCTCAATCGCGGGCTCATTCTCTAAATTTTGACATTTATTCTACAACCTGTCTTCTAAACGGCTACACGCGACAGAATATATTTACTCCTGAACACTTGAATGTCAAATATGAATGTACATCAAGCCTACTTTTACCCGCCCCCCCCCACCCCCTGTACATAAATCACCATCAATAGTAACCTCTTCTTGACTCTAACGCCTAACCCTAACCATAACCCTAACTCCACCATTAACTCTAATGTAACCATGAGCCCAACATTCCTACTCTTAGGCTCATTATTAAAGACCGGCGCCGTAAAGTATACCGATAATTTTGTTATTTATTGAATGCTCCGTAAAACATTATCCTATACCTCCTACAGCCCACAATAACACAAGCACTTGAAGCGTTTTAATAGCACTATATATATTAGCAGCAGTGTAGCGTGCAACAGTCGCGCCGCGAAAGCAATGGCGCCGCAGCCCGTACATTGGTTGGACGTAGGATTTGGACGGAATTTACAGGAAACTGTCGGCAAATAATAGGTACGAAAGAGCAGTATAGAACATAAGGAATTGGTAGTAAATAGATTTTCGTATTTAGTTAGCATTATATTTTATTGAAACGCTTCAAGTGCCTGCCCACAATAAGCTCTTCATCGTGATGCCTGTAATCTTGTCATATAGAAATAGGAACGTTTGGAAACAAATTCAAACAATATTATTATAATATAATAATAACAATAAGCTATATTCCATCTACTTCATCGCAAAATTCTGTCGAATGACTTTTGATATTTGAGTCGATGTTCTCGTTTAGCACGTCGATTACACGTCAAAATAACAAACGAATTCTCATAAGAATGAACCACACGCTTCAATTTGATACGAACGTCAACAACTCGTGACGTTGGGTACTACGAAAATCGACTTCTAGCCACATTTCAGCATATCGGAGGTGGACTGTACTGTGCGCCGGGGTTGGGGTGAGGGATTCATCACTCACCTACAAGATTAAGATCCCTTGTGTGTTCCACCGCCCTGTGTCCTCGCCCCCGCGCGCTACACACTGCAGCAGCTGGCTCGCTATATGTACTACACTACTTCCCTTGATGAAGAGCAGAAGGCAGAATGAAGGGCAGCTAGCTACCCGCTTGTCCGCACGCAGTTCTATAAATATAGCTTCTGCTTCGCTTTAGAAGAGCGCTGGCAATAAACGCATCCTCCATGACTGGTCGCGCCCACTGTCACATCATCGCATCCGTGTTACGAATTCGTATTTCTCGGTGGAGCCGTTACCCCGCGACAGCATCTTGCTCATAGCGTGTTGGCGGCGCATGATCAGATGGCAAATATATCACGGCGAATTAGCGAGCGCGATGCGTGCATGTCGATGCGTGCGCGCAGAGAAAAAAAAACATTTCTCCGCGTCGTACGTGCGATGCAAAAATATTTGAACAGGGCGCGGGTTGCCTCCTACGAGAAACGTTGATGTTGGTCCCCGGGCGGTCTCCGGGGGGGGGCCAGCGTATCGACGTCCCGCTGCGCGTGGTTGAACATAGGCGTTAGAAAGCATCGTTGATTACGCCGTAATTTTTCATTATTTTGCGAGGAATATTATACGGCAGTAGTATTGAATCTATATATTATGTGTATCGCACCTGTGTGTGTGGTGTGTGTGGTGTGTGTGTGTGTGTTTGTTGTGTGTGTGTGTGTGTGTAGTGTGTGTGTGTGCTGTGCGGCGCCTCGTATCAGGGGTACAACTACTTGTCAACTCGCGGAGGCGCCGTGTGACGGGACCTCGGCGACGACTGTGGCATTGATAATGGGTATGACGTTCTATGATCGTGATTTTGCCGGCCGTAGGGTGAAAGTTCAATTATTGAAATGGCGGTGGATTAAGGGACTCCTTGAATATTCACGACGGATACATAGATATCGCGTTTCTACCTGCGAAGTACAGTGAGGACTAATTGCATCTGAAGACATTGAACGGACGTGTGTGTGGTGTGTGCCGGCGCGTCGATTAGAATGTGTTGTGTGTTGATGATATTGATGTGCTTGTGGATTTTAACGAATTGGTGATTTTTTTAAAGGAGGGGTTACTTTCTTTTGTCTTATACATTGTTCTTTTATTAGGTATATTAGCATTTTCCTCTTTCGGTTTCAACC